ATATCCTTATCGCTTGCAATCAACTCCCATTCATTAGCGGCATTCAGCGCAGGATAGATGTCGCGCGTAGTCAGTCAGGCGCCAAACCACGTCCAGGGTCGACCCAGTGTCAGTCCAGAACCGTTCCTTTCCTTTTGTGTTTGCAACATAGCGACTTTCCCACGGTTCCGTGACTTGGCTTTAACAGTGCAGTTCCTTTCTGTTTCGGTTCCAGTCCCAGTGAAATTTCATCGCCGTATTTTTTTCCCGGTTAACTCAGAATTAGAAAGTACGAAATATTTGCATGCGTAGTGCAGAAAGGGACTGACCCCAATCATGCCTAACATGGGAAAATAAATGATTGGTGACGGCCTCTCACCTCTTTGCTTTAAAACTTCCTGGAGGTTTCATCGCTTCCATGCTAGTTAGGAAAGCAGCTTATATTTCCGTCAGGGATGATAGATATGGAACCAACTATATCTAAACCTGAAAAGGTTAAGCAGCTCGGTGGGGTACCACTATTTATCAGCATTAGTCTCGTAATGATGTTTTCAGACATAATTGGAGTCCATATTTCTGAATTAAGAGTTTAACCCAGGTCTACTTCATATATACAGCATAACGGAGATTTGTTCATTTGAAATAGACAATGAATCTTTGAGACTCGATTGCAAGTACGGTGTGTTCAGATGGTAGGCACAACATCGTAATACGTAGGAATGAGCCGTGGAAGGAAGACGAAAAGAAATGCACAGAGCCAAAGAGCTGAAAGCCATACGTGGCCTGCAACCGTAGAAGATTTTATTGAACGGGCAAGGCGCGACTAGAAAAGGCCATGGATCGACCAAGGCATGCTCCAATGGCTATCTTCTTTTTGTAATTTGTGAAATAGGTATGCGAATCGCCCGCTTGGACCAACCTCCCCTGGGTAACCAGACGATTCCAACGGGACGATGTGTGTGAGGTATGGTTAGCTGCGGTCCCACTTGGCACTCAGTACGAAGGGATTTAAATCCATGGTTGAGCTCGTGAGTGGACTCAATCTACGGTTGAGCCGCGTCTCGATCGGTTAAGGGAATTGAATTTCACATTTCACGGTCCTGTTCAGCTGCCCTAATATTTGTCAAAGTTCACTCAGTTTTTCTTGAAGGCATTTTTCCTGCCTTTTTTCTTGAAGGTGTTAATACATCTGACAAAGGATTCATTGATCTGCATAGAATATGAATATGAATATTGTGACGGATAAGGATGGCATCGAGAGGGTCGACTGAATGTGCAGGGTTCGGTGGTGTAGTGTGAGCAGTAGCACACCTGACCGGCAATCAGGAGGCCCGGGGTTCAATTCCCGCCCGTTCCTTGGGTTCTTTCGACCTCTCATGCCGTCCGTCCGAGGAACATCCGCCCCGTAACAATATTTATAAATTAATATTAATAATAAATAATATTAATATAAATAAATTAATAATATTAATATTAATAAATATCTTAAAATTATAATTTTAATATAAATAAATATTAAACATTAACCTTGAATAGTGAAGCATCTCAAACATCACATCATTCACGATAGAACTAAACAGCTGGACGATTTCTGAGGTTATGATGCAAAGGATGATAGGTGATTGTTTCATCTACAAAAATCTGTTTCTTTTTCAGCAGTTATGGATCTGCTTCATGAAAATGGTCACTGGAATTTCACCTCTTGAGTTGGTATGATTCGCATTTTTAAACTTGGGAGTAAAGTTTTGGAATCTAAAGGCGTTTAATCATCTAGAAGAATATTTTGCCATGTTTTTTGTCCCTATTCCAGAATTTTTCCTTTTTTTAAGTGCTCAGCATGGCAGAATGGAAAAAAAAATGCAACAGGAGCCTCTGTTTCCACATCGAAAAATTTCTTTGGTCTGGGTTTTCTATCTCAGATTTCAGAAGTGGGGTGTTGTTTTTTTCTTTGCATGGCTGCCGAAGATAACATTAGGACTTTCTGCCAAGAAAAAATTATTCATTTTGCTTGATACTCCAGTAACCTTGTAGTAACACTGTTAAAATACCGGTAATTTACTTTTAAATTACGTTCAAGTAATGCTTACTTTTTCATTTTCATTCCTGATTTTCCCAATATGAGAACGAATTTCTACATACTGTACATGCATGTTAAAAAAGCACTCATTCGAACTTGTTGCGATTCTGAAATTCTCTCGGAGGGAATACTGAAAATGAATTCCTAGAGGAGCAAATGCTCGCATTCCCATAGCAGGATTCTTCTTCCATTCCAGAGACCAGATTAACGTCGAATTGGTATTTCATTCGTCAGTTCTAGACAGTGTTGGCCACGAAAGTTGCAAGAAGCAGTGAAATGCGAGTCCTATTTATTGTATCCGGCTAGGAAAATCCGGAACAACGCTCGACGAAGCACGGAAGGAAAGAAAATCAGTCGCAGAGCACCCCATCGGAGCAGGTCGACTGGCAGCAGGTGCAAGGCGTCCCCACGCCGTACATGCCCAACCCCATCACGTTCCCGGCCGGCCCGTAGTTGCAGGCGTAGAGCTTGCTCCCTCCCCGTAGGCGACGTAGCCGCATCCCACGGCGTACGAATCTGCCCACACCACTTGCGTGTAATGTCCCGTTCCGTGCGTGAACCTACAGTGGCAAAGAATAGTCTCAGTCGTCGTCACGTCACGCTGATGACGTCTCGTGCACAGAAATAATGAAGAATCCTTCTTAGAGTCGCCTCTGAATAGCCACTTGAAATGGCAGAACCCATAATCGCGGACAAAATGACGTCTATAGGAAGAACGACAACTAAATTCCTTAGCATAGTTTGAATTGTATCCATGGGTTGATTCGATCTAGATATTCTCGATCCAAATTTCTGATTTAAAAGATCATCACGGAAGAAATCGTCTCAGAGCGGATCCCCCCCCCCGCTTCATTTCTAAACGGAAGTGATGAGAAAGCGATGGTATGTAGTGGAACTTACTGGAAAGGGTTAACAGCATTGCAGTCGTATTGTCCGACTTCGTCGTACCAGGCCTGAACGGCAGAATTCCAATCGACCTGCGTCCCCTCGTACCCGGAACTCCAGTAGAGGTTTTGACCCGCTGACCCGAAGGAAGCTGTGAAGGACGAGGACGAAACATATCAATGCGGTGAGAGGGAGAGAGAGAGAGAGAGAGAGAGTGAGAGGGAGAGAGAGAGAGAGCGAGAGCGAGTGAGAGAGAGAGAGAGGAGACTCACAGGCGAAGGTGCGGCAGTTTGGGTCATCGTGGGCGAAGTTGCAAGTGTTCGCCAGGCCCTGTGCCGTCGCCGCCAGCCCGTCGTCCCATACCTGTCATCGGATCGGGGGTTCCCAAGTTCAAATTAGGTCTTCTGTGTCGAGTTTCGGGTAATGGCTTCTGAGATTTCTTTAAATGTCACCTTAGCAGCAGGTGGTGCATCAAAGTTGTGCATTTGTACTCGTACGTATTCGGCCATATAAATATTTGTAACATTTGCATGTCGTCTTTAATGTGTTCAGCGGCACGCGAGAGGTTACGTTAGTCTCAGAATTACAGGGAAACAGAATTCAGAAAAAGTATCTAAAATGGTGACCATTCGTCGCATGTTGGAGGCCGACGGCTGAGGTCCAGGATTGCCCTGCGTCTCCTGGCCGGTGGCGACTTTCGTCCTCAGTCGGTTGTGAGCGTCCACGATGATGCTCTTCTCGTCGGACACGCCGAAGCCGTCGACAGAGCCGCAGTTGTCGGTCGGTGTGGACGAGTAACAGTTGTTGGTCCCTGGGGTCCCACCGAGGTCGAATGGGGTGAGACAATTTGGATCCGACTGGAAGGGATTAATGGCACGAATTCGGTTTACCCAGAGAAAAGAAAGGGAAACTGAAGAGCGAAAGAGAGAGAGAGAGTGTTAGCTCATGATCAGTCGAGGGGAGTACATTTGAATTAGAAGAAATAATGGACTGTTAGTTAAGCTATATCGGCGGAAATTTTAAGTGTTGAGTGGAAGAAATGCATACGTAACCGAGGCGAATGTGGAAAGCCACCTGAGCGGAGATAGGGGAAATATTGAAAGGAAAAAAAGGTCATATTTCAAAGTTGAAGATTCTAAGTAAACGACAGGAAGGAAAAAAGCAGAAACGAATGACGAAAGTTCAGTTGCGAATACTTCTTATATTCAATTTTCTTTACGCGAAAGAGTGACTTAGAAAGTGCTAATTGAAAAGACGCAATCAACGAATGAAATTTTTTCAATGTTAATTGATGAAGAGTTTTTCATAATCGAATGCCTTTGCCATCAAGACGCGGTGTTTCCTATGTGCACTCCAAGGATTCTTCTACATCGGTCCTTGACGGTCCTTTTGTCCTTTTTTGTCCTTTCTCCACACAAACTCAAGTAGGCAATTTTGTGAAGGTGACCTTGAGATTTTCCCACTAGTCGCCCATTTCGCAATTCGAATTTCGCATTTTGAACAGCATTGAATGGAGCATGTTCCTAAGCTTCACTTTTTCGTAACACATCTTCCTGCTGTCTATCAGGAATACGATCCGAAATTTCTTTCAGATACAGAAATTTCTTTCTTTCTACGAAACAGCAGTCATCTGAAGGTGGAGTAAAAATTTTGCTTCGAGCCAAACGCCCGAGTTTAGGCGTCCATCAGGAAACGAAACGTGATCTGTGCACCGAGCTGGTGGTAAATGCAGTAATCTATTCATGAATGACGTACGAGGTGGAAGATTTGGAAGTTTAGAATTTTTCCCGAATTTAGTTTTTTTTAGACAAAATTCCGTTTAACCGTCAGTATTCTAGAGGAATTCCGTTCGGTGGGAATCTCTATTTCCATTATTACCACTCGAGGAAATTGCTTCCCTCATGCAGATGGTTCTTTTGGATGCCTGATTGATTAAATTGATATAAGAAAATGAGATTTGCGGATTTTCGTGTAAACAAATACTTACTACGTAGTAATACTACGTAATACGTAGTATTACTTATTACCAATTACGTATTACCAAGTAATACTACGTAATACGTAGGTAAAAAGAATTATTTCGATTCGCGGAATTCCATGCTAAAATTACAAATATCCTAAAAACATATATCCATGAAAGGATTGCATGGGCCAGGAACGGGTTATTTGAAACCAAATTGAAGATTTCCATTGTGGAAACCTCTCTGTATGGGAAGTTTCTCGATGACACAGTAAGCGATCATGAGGAATGATCGCGTACTGTGTCGTATGAAGGAACTCCGCACAGTACGAATGCAGCCTCTAAAACAGTTTAACACCTTGTAAACACGGGAGGTATAGCGTGGGGGGAGGGGAGATAAAGGAGGGGGGGGGGGGGGGGGGGGGGGGGGGGGGGGGGGGGGGG